TATAGTGTTGAGAAAGATGCTGCCTTTTGTTTCATTTGCTATCTATTTAAGGATGGTAACACAGCGGGAGTGGATGCTTTTGTTAATGGAGGTTTCAGACGTTGGAATAGAAGAGACACAATTGTAAAGCATGTTGGTGGACACAAGAGTGCTCACAATAATGCTGTGATTGCTATGAACTTTTTCATGAATCAAATGAGTAGCATTGCCACCGCTTTATCAAAACAAACAGCGGAAACCATGAGTGCCTATCGTAAGAGATTAGAAGCTTCAATTGAAACCATTAAATGGCTATTGCTCCAAGGGTTGCCTTTTCGTGGTCATGATGAAAAGGAAAGTTCATTGTCTAGAGGTAACTTTCTTTCGTTATTAACTCTTCTTTCAAACCATGATCCTGAGTATTCCAAAGTTGTTTTTAAAATGGCCCCTGGTAATTGTCAACTTACTTCTCCAAGTGTCCAAAAAGATATAATCAATGCTTGTGCTAAAGAAACAACTAAAGCAATATTGGAAGAACTTGATGGTGGATTTTTTGCTATTATTGCTGATGAATCTGCCGATGTTTCCGATAAGGAACAAATGGCACTTTGTTTGAGATTTGTTAATAAAAAGGGGGAAGTGTGTGAGTGTTTTCTTGGTATTGTGCATGTTCCTGATACTAGTTCTTTGACTCTCAAAGCTGCTATTGAGTCATTACTCATGGAACACTCTTTAACTTTCTCTCAAGTTCGAGGTCAAGGTTATGATGGGGCAAGTAATATGCAAGGTTCAATCAATGGCCTTAAAACTCTAATTTTGAATGAATGTTCTCAAGCATACTTTGTTCATTGCTTTGCTCATCAACTTCAATTGACACAAGTTGCACTTGCTAAGAAAAACTCAGATTGTGGTTGGCTTTTTGTTGATGTACTTGCACCTCTCTTGAACTTTGTGGGAGATTCACCTAAGAGGAAAGAATTTCTTCGAGAAAAACAACGTCAAGGGGTTGTAGAAGCATTATCTTTGGGTGAAATTGAATCGGGAACTGGTTTGAATCAAGAACGTAGCTTATGTAGACCTTGTGATACTCGTTGGGGATCTCACTTTAAAACCATTTTGAATGTGCTTGATTTATATCCTTCAATAGTTTTGTCACTTGATTCCATTGCAGAAGTATCTGATACACTTGATTCAAATAAAGCACAATCTATTACACACTTGTTGATGTCATTTGATTTTGTGTTTGTGGCACACTTGATGGTTGATATATTTGGAATTACAAATGCGTTGAATGTGGCATTGCAAAAACATGATCAAGATATTGTAAATGCAATGGTCATGGTTGATGTAACCAAGACTAATTTGCAAAAATTGAGAGATGAAGGATGGGATTCACATATGGAAAAAGTCACTTCTTTTATGGCTAAATATGGCATTGAGGTTCCAAACATGGAGGGGCGATATGTGGTTCCTGGGAGAAGAATGTATAGAGGTAAAGGTCCACAAGTGACTAATCTTCATCATTTTAGAGTTGAAGTTTTTCTAAGTGTCATTGATCTTCAATTACAAGAACTTGAAAATCGATTTCCCGAGGTAAGTAAGGAATTACTTGTGTGTATGTCTTGCTTTAATCCTGCAAATCGATTTCATTCTTTTGACAAAAGAAAGTTAGTTCAACTTGCCAAATTTTATCCCGATGAATTTTCAAGCTCTGAGTTATTATTTTTTGAACATTCACTTGAAAATTTTATTGTTGATGTTCGAAATGATGAGAGATTTTGGAATTTGAAAAGTCTAAGTGAATTTTCTACGAAACTTGTTGAGACGGGAAAGTTTGAAACTCATGATCGAATCTACTTACTTTTGAAGTTAGTGTTGATTCTTCCTGTTGCAACGGCAAGTGTAGAAAGAGTATTTTCCGGAATGACGCAAGTGAAAGATAAATTGCGTAATAGCATGGGAGATCAAATGTTGAATGATTGTTTGATTACTTATTTAGAAAGAGATTTGTTTTTGAATGTTAGCATGGATGATATTGTAAATAGTTATCAAAATATGAAAACTTGTCGAGAGCAATTGTAATAAAATTAATAATTTTTTAGTTGTAATACGAATTTGCATTACTTTATGAAATGAACTTTTTTATGTAATTTTTTTTTTTTGTTCATTATACAAGCTTTGACTTTTTTTTTATACTTTATGCGGTCGATGGACGATAATGGGACCACCTATTAATCAAATCCTGGATCCGCCACTGGTTACGATGATAGTGGATACGCAGGGGCAGAGAGTGCTGCCGCGTACCTTGCTAGGTTTGAGACTGTCGGGTCTCAAGCCCTAGGAGACCTTATTGAGGAACATCTTGGTACACATGACCCTATAACGTGTATAATGTATGATGCATTTTTACCGTGGGGTCTAAATGTTGCTAAGAAATATGGAATATTTGGGGCTGCTTTTTTTACCCAACCATGTGGGGTAAATTATATTTTTTACTTGGTTTACCATAGGAAGTTTTCGATGCCGGTTTCTTCGCAACCGGAGGTGTATCTTCCCGGGTTGCCTCCGTTGAATGTCGGCGACTTACCGTCTTTTGTTAGCTCACCGAATCTTACCCAGCTTACCTTGAGTTGGTTTTGAACCAATACTCTAATTTAGATGAGGCTGACTTTGTGCTTGTCAACACTATCTACGAGTTGGAGGAAGAGGTAATGTATATGCATGTTTTTGGTCAAGTGAATTAGAATTATTGTTGGTATCATGTACAACTTATTACTGAAATTTACCTAATCCACTTTTTCAAAAATTACTTTTTGTGTAATCTGATAAACTATACGAAGTATAATATAATATAAGAATAAAAAATAAAAAATGAGGGGAACGAAGAGGTCCCTTAAATTTATTTACTCGAGAACAACTAAGAAATATACGAGTATTATTCACCTATTTTTAGGATAGAGATGAAATTTGTGAACTTTGTTACCATATATTCATTTAAATTATTTTACCCTTAAAAATGGAAAGGAGAATAAATAGGAGTAAACTTTTTTAAAAATCGGGTGCACAATAATTATTGTACATCCATTATAAAGATAACCTAAAGTGATTAAAAGTTACCCCTGAAATGAATAAAAGTTACCCCGATATGCGTTTAAGTAATCCAATTCAAATAAAAACTATCTACGCTTTATTAGTAAAGAATCACATTTTAAATGACTAAAAATCAATTATTAGTGATTGAATGTAATTAAATTACCTTTATAAAACTTTTCTTGTTGTTGATTTATATAAAAATTGTATTATGTTTAAAGTTACCCAAAAAAGACAAAAAGTTACCCTAAAATTAGCTAAAAGTTACCCTTATACTGCTCGATGTACACTAATATTAGTGTAAACCGGATGTATACAAAAGTTTTTGTATGATTTTTTAGCATGCACCAACAAAATTAAGGGGATATAGGAGGACAGCGACACAGCGTCATTAGTGTTTTTTTTTTTTTTTTAATAATTTGCTTAGGTAGGATTAGCTGTGTCAAAATCACACCCGATCCTGCCCAAAAAATATTCAATTAGGATTTTAACTTGAGCAGATACAATAATCTAGCTTGACTCGACTTAAAAAATTGACCTGACCTCATCAAAATCGATTCGGACATTCGAATTGACACATTTAGGCAAGATGAAGGGTGGCTAGACATTTCGAGAAAGTGGAGGAAGGCAAGGGAACCCCTTTCTCCGACAATGCTATGTTACAAGTAAATAAAAATGGAAAAATTATACATTAATTAGGTGGTGGATCATGGTGAAACAGACTTGCATACACTACAATACCTTTTATTGTTATAAAACTCTTTAAAATTACAATAATTTGACTTTTATACTATTCAATTGCACATATTAACTTTAATTTGATCATTGACTTCAATAATAAAACATTAGAAAACACGGGGGGGTTGGGATTCTACATAGTGAACCTTTAGTATAGCGTTTTTCAAGTTATGTCCCATCTATTTGGAATACACATTGTAACCCTCTGGTACAGTTAATAATTATACAGTCACTTCGCCGCCATTATGTAGCCGTTAGCAAGGTTATTATTTTCTACTTCCTCCATTTTCTTTTACTTGCAACACTTTCCTAAAAAGGAACTGTCACAATACTTGCAACACACTATAAAAGGAAAGTTATTTTATGGAAAAACTATCACTATTTCCCTTATTTAAAGCACATGGCCCACTAAATTACACTCCTAACAACCACTTATCCCATTTTAAAGTGTATTATATCATGTGAACCCCACATTTCTTAAATACCATGAAAAAGTGTGTGTTGCATCTAAAAGAAACGGAGGAAGTATTAATCACTGTTGGTGGGGCCACTCTCCACCTATTAACACTTACTTTTCAACTTATGTATGTGCTGAAAAATGTTCTATGTATTAAAGGTTTGGGGAAGGCATTTTGGACAGTAAGGAACCAAATTGAGCTCATATTTGACCAAAAAATAAATGTAAAACCAGATAAATGTAAAACCAGGTAATTACATTTTTTTTCCCAATTTTGACCACAATTTGGTTCTTAAAGGACTAAAATAACCCCCAAAACCTTTCTCAATCAATTTCTGCAGCTAAGAAAATAAAGATACAAATTGAGACATGTTATATACACAAAATGATGCATTTGTGTTACTTTTACTGTTTTTTCCAAATACGAGTTCAATTTGGGTCTTTAAGGACAAAATGGTGCTCAAAACCTTTAACATAACGTTTTTTAGCACATCATTTAGGCACACTCTCCATATATAGTGTAAACCCGTGAATGTCTACATAACGACAAGGTCACTAGATATAGTTTAAATGTAACAGAGGGTTACACTATGAGTCTATGACAATATGTAACTTTTATAAAGAAGACGCACAACTTAAATAGTAGAGCTAGGGTCACTACATATGTAGAATTTGAATTTAACTTTGTCACGTGTTTATTAACTTATGTCAAACCTTTTTTTTTTTTCTCAGATAGTTGATGTTATGTCCAAAGAGTGTCCGTTGTTAACAATTGGCCCAACAATTCCATCATTTTACGTGGACAAACGAATTCCACATGACAAAGAATATGGCCTAAGTCTCTATCCCATTGACCCTACTCCTATCACCAAGTGGTTAAGCACAAAGTCACCCAAATCAGTGGTTTACGTCTCATTTGGTAGCATGGCATGTCTAACAAAGGCTCAAATTGAAGAATTGGCATGGGGGTTGAAGCAAAGCAAATACCACTTCTTGTGGGTGGTTCGAGCTTCCGAGGAGCACAAGCTTCCAAATGGCTTTGCTGATGAGTTGGCCGCGAAAGGCCTAATAGTAAGATGGTGTCCACAACTAGAGGTACTCTCTAGTGAGGCAATTGGATGTTTCTTTACTCATTGTGGTTGGAACTCGACATTAGAGGCATTGGTTTTGAGCGTCCCTTTGATAGGAATGCCACAATGGACTGATCAACCTATGGTTGCTAAGTTAGTTGAGGGTTTGTGGAAAGTAGGAGTAAGAGTGAAGGTCAACGAGGAAGGACTTATAAGAAGAGAGGAAATCGTGGAACGTGTAATTGAAGTCATGGAAGAAAAAAGGGTGGAGTTCATTGAAAATGCTAAGAAATGGTTGGATTTGATGAAAAAAGCAATGTCTAAGGGTGGATCTTCGGATAGGAACATAGATGAGTTCATATCTAAAATCTTAAGGTCTTAATAGTCCATTTGGATTAAATAATAAATAGTACGTGCTAATAATTATCATTTGATAACGTGTTTTAGTACATACGAGTACTATTAATTAATTCAAATTAATGCATACTAGTTAACTAAGCTCAAATTTCAATGCTATATAAATTGGACCCTTAATTGCTACAGGTATGAGATGTAGTTGGAAATGATTTTAAACTTCTAAAACACTATCTATCTAAAAATTATATACAAGGTGTATAAAAGGTTTTTTTTTTTCCTTATTTAAAAAATATTAAAATAAGCAAGAAAAAATATCATATAAGGAAAAAAAACTACCTTTAGGTGCATGTATCCACTACCTCTATTGTGCATCCAACTGTATAATAAAAGGATTGCTATTTTTCTATCAATTCTGCTTTTGGTTACTATTGCTTAAACTAAAGAAGGGTTTTTATACTAGCGGTATGTTGATTTTAGCTTATCTTATTTTGTGTTAAATATCTTTAATTTTAATAATTAAGAAAATTATATACAAAATTCTCTTATTTGAAATATTCATATTAATACAAATCAAATATCATCTCATTTGATAATTTCTTATCTCCAAAATTAGTGTACAAATAAAATCAAAATTTGATCAAATTTAATGAAAGTTGAATTAGAGCACATTTGATTGAATAAAAATTAAATCGGATCTAGTGAACTGAACATAGCTTTGTTCATCCAACAAACTTTTAAAACTACTCCCTCCGTCCCTTAATTAGATTCCTACTTCTCTCTATTGTAAGTAGGGTTGTACAGAGTTTGGTCTGGACCGTAACCAAACCAGACCAAACCGCATTTTAGCGGTTTGGTTTGGTTTACGGTTTGGAAAAATATGGTTTGGTTATTGAGTATTAGACATACTCTATTTTGTTTTGTCAGCAAGGTTGTTAGAAGATGCTGCCAGGGTGTCAAGTTTGTTATGCTTCCTGTAACAAACTTTTGCTTAGCTGGAAGTTTGTTATATTTACTTCTAGATTCTTCCTTATGTAATAGCTACTATATATATATTCCTGATGATTGTAATAATCTTATTCATTCAATCATAATCCAAAAATATGCTTTCTATTTACCTGTTTTCTCTTCAGATTTTCTCTCAAGTTTCTTCCTGATTTTACTTTAGTTTCACAAAATTACATGGTATCAGAGCTAAAAGATTCTGTTTCCCTTCGTTTTTTGATCCAAATACCTCATTGTTTTCATTGAAATTGTTGATAATTCTTTCTGATTTCTGGAATTTTTTTTTTCTTGTTGATTTGTTAATTCAGATCATTTTTCCTGAATTCTGGTTGCTTTTCTGGAGTTTGTTTGCTTAGATTTTTCTTCGATTGCTTTAGATTGTTGAATTTCTGGATATTTTTTGCTGAAATTGCTTGACGAGCAAGCTACAATGGCGGAAAACTTACATACTCAGGCGACACTTCCTTTGAATCAGAATCCTGCAAGCAACTATAACATTCATCCTTCAGATGCTAATTTCACTCAGTTAGTTTCCTTCAAATTCAACGGTGAAGGTTTTACTAGCTGGAAGCGAGCTATGTTGTTGACTCTTTCAGCAAAGAATAAGGCAGGCTTTGTTAATGGAACTCACTGTAGACCAGTTGATGAAACTTCTCCAGAATATCTAGCTTGGGAGAGGTGCAATGATCTAGTCTGCTCTTGGATTCTGTTCAATCTTGATAAGAGTATTGCTGGAAGTGTGATATTTCTCAGATCTGCTAGAGAGATCTGGCTTGATTTGAAGGAGAGGTATGGCTTTACATCCTTAGCTAAGATTTATTCTTTGGAGCAACGATTAGCTGATATTAGTCAAGGCAATGCTTCTGTTTCTGAATTTTTCACTTCCATTAAATCTATTTGGGATGCTATTGATGAAGCACATCCATTACCATATTGTACTTGTAATAATTGTTCATGTAACTTGACTAAGAGGATTTTTTAGAGACATCAGCAGAAAATGGTCATACAGTTCATGATGAAGTTAACAGACAAATTTGGTACTATAAGAGGAAATATGTTGATGATGCCTGAATTGCCTAAAGTCACTGAAGCCTACAGAATGTTTGCTCAGGAGGAAAAGCATAGAGGGATTTCTCAACATGCTGTTAACACTGAATCTATGGCTTTCTTAGCTGACAGAAAGAAATACAACAACTCTATTGTGAACAGGTCTTTCAAACCTTATTCTTCTGCTAGTTCACATTCAGGTTCAATGAGACAATCTTATTTTCCTCAACAAAATCAAAGACAACTCTCAGGAGATCAATTTGCAAATAAACCTGGTTCTAGGTATTATTGTACTCATTGCAAAGTGCCAGGACACAGTATTGACAGGTGCTTTGAATTACATGGATATCCCCCTGGTTTCAAAGGTTTTAAAGACAAGTACAAAGTTGCAGCAAATTCCTCTGTTGAATCTGAGCATATGGAGGAGGACTCTAACAGGTCTATTACAGTTGAGCAGTACAAGCAACTTATGACTGTGCTAAATTCTCAGAAATCAGATGCTCTCAAGACTGAAAGCTCAAATAGTATGGCAATGATGGCAGGTAATTTCTGTCTCTTGTCTTGTTCAGATAGTAAATGGTTGTTGGATAGTGGTGCAACTGACCACATTTGTTCTGATCTGGATTTCTTTACTGAATATCATGCTGCTTCTCACTTGTCTAAATATATCACACTACCTGATGGGAGTAGAGTCTTGGTTCTGAATATAGGAGTGGTAAAACTAAATGATCATATATTTCTGAATAATGTTTTGCATGTGCCAGATTTTAAGTTCAATTTAATCTCTGTGCACAAGCTGTGTAAAGATATGTTGTGTGAGCTGCATTTCACTCATGATAGGTGTTTTGTGCACACACAGAAAGGTCAATCGATTCCTCTTGGTAGTCTGAAAGTTGGTTTATACAACTTCCAAGAGCAATAGGGGAGAGAAGTGGTCAGTATTGAGAAAACTACTTGCTTAGCTGCTGTAGATGAGGCCAAATTGTGGCATTTGAGGCTTGGTCATTTGTCTTTTAATCAGCTTAAGGTTGTTAGGCCTGAGTGTGATATCAAAGCTTGCTTAGACAGTACTATTTGCCAGGTGTGTCCTAAGGCAAAGCAAACTAGATTACCTTTTCCTACTAGTTCAATAAAGAGTAGTGCACCTTTTGAATTAGTTCACATTGATGTATGGGGCCCACATTCTGTAAAAACTCCTTCAGGTTGTAATCAGTTTCTTACAATTGTTGATGATTACTCAAGGTTTACTTGGGTACATTTGATGAAGAATAAAACTGAGTCTGTTCCTATTATGTCTGATTTTATTCAAATGATTTCTACTCAGTTTGATTCAAAGATTAAGGTTATCAGATCAGATAATGCTCAGGATTTGTGTGAAGGGATATGAAAATTTTGCTTCATAAGTTTGGTATTTTTCATCAAACTTCTTGTAGTGACACACCACAACAAAATGGTGTTGTAGAGAGGAAAATAGACACATTTTGGAGACTGCCAGGGCTTTATATATTCAGTCTAGGGTTCCTGACAGGTTTTAGGGTGAGTGTGTCTTGTGTACAGTGTATTTGATAAATATGATACCTTTGAAAGTTCTTAAGGATGACATTCCATTTAGAAGATTAAAAGGTTTTGTTCCTGATCTTTCACATTTGAAGACATTTGGTTGTTTATGCTTTGCTTCTACCAGCAAAGTTCATAGACATAAACTTGCTGAGAGAGCTGAGCCATGTGTTTTTCTGGGCTATTCTGTCAGTCAGAAAGGTTACAAAATTCTTGATCTTACAAACTCAAAAATAAAAGTCACCATAAATGTGGTTTTCCATGAAAAACACTTTCCTTATCACTTACATTACATCAGCCAAAATCCCACAAAAACTCTTTCAGCTGCAATATATCTTCCTGTTTCTACCTTCAATCCTATCCTTCTTACTGATAATATCAATTCTGACCTATTTTTCCCATCTCATGATTCACCTATCTCTTCTATTCATTCTCAATATTTATCACCTTCTTCTTCTCTTTCTGAAACTTCAGATTCTAATGTTTTGTCTCCTCCTTCTCCTTTTAATATATCTCCTTTAATGCAAGATATTGGTTCATCAGCTAACACTGATGTAACTGGTCAAAGTGACCCTAGAAAATCTACCAGACCCCACAAATTCCCCTCACATTTTGATATATATCAATGTTATTCAGCTGTTTACCCAGACCAGAATTATGATAAATCTGAATCAGAACACTGGTGCAATCTGGTGGTTTATTCTGATTTTCCTGATAATCACAAGTGTTTTCTGGCTCATACTTGTGATATCCATGAACCTCTCAATTATGCTCAAGCAGCAACTGATCCTTTGTGGGTTGCAGCCATGGACAAAGAAATTTCTGCACTCATTAATAATGGTACTTGGGATTTGGTTGATTTACCTAAGGGTAAGAAAGCTATTGGGTGTAAGTGGGTGTTTAAAGTCAAGTTGAAATCCAATGGGGAGCTAGAAAGGTGTAAAGCAAGGCTAGTTGCTAAGGGTTTCAATCATAAATATGGCATAGATTATGAAGAAACTTTCAGCATAGTTGTGAAAATGAATACAATCAGATATGGGTTAACTTGCATAGCAGCCATTTATGTGGATGACATAATACTGACTGGAACAGATGTTGAAGCAATGACACAGTTGAGAGTGGATTTGCACAACAAGTTCAGCATCAAGGATTTAGGTAAACTGAGCTATTTCCTTGGCTTGGAGATTGGGTACACTTCTGATGGTATTTTGTTAAGCCAAAAGAAGTTTACTAAGGAGTTGATTCATGATTGTGGCTTGGAGCTGAAAAATAGGGTTGTCACTCCTTTAACTTTGGGTCTCAAGTTGCAGCAAGACACAGGGGAGCCTTTGTCAGATCCTGAACATTATAGGTCTCTGGTGGGTAAATTAAACTTTCTTACCCATACTAGACCTGATCTATCGTTTGTTGTGCAAGCTTTAAGTCAGTTTATGCAAAGACCTCATACTTCTCATCTGCAAGCTCTCATTCACACTCTCAGTTATGTTTCTCACACTGAGGGTCAGGGCATTTTATTAAAGGCTTCAACAGATCTTTCTCTTCATGCTTTTACTGATTCTGACTGGGCTAGTTGTGTTGATTCAAGGAGGTCCATTACTGGATATGTCCTCCTGCTTGGTAAATCACCTGTTGCCTGGAAATCTAAGAAATCACCTGCTTGGTCAAGGCTTAGTTTCTAAATCTTCTGCTGAAGCAGAATATCGGGCTATGGCAAGTGCAGCTTCTGAAGTTACTTGGGCAGTCAGACTCTTGGAAGAGCTTGGCATTGGGGGTTTACAGCCAGTTACTCTCTTCTGTGATAATCAATCTGCTATTCATATTGCCAAGAACCCTGTGTTTCACGAGCACACCAAACACATCGAAATAGACTGCCATTTCACCAGAGACAAAGTACTTGAAGGCTTGATTCAACTTGCTTATCTTCCTTCTAGTGAACAGTTAGCAGATTTGTTCACCAAAACTTTGCCTTCTCCTCAATTGCAGTATCTTTTGCACAAGTTGGGAATGTTTTCTCAGGCTCCAACATTGCCCAACTTGAAGGGGGGTATTGAGTATTAGACATACTCTATTCTGTTTTGTCAGCAAGGTTGTTAGAAGATGCTGCCAGGGTGTCAAGTTTGTTATGCTTCCTGTAACAAACTTTTGCTTAGCTGGAAGTTTGTTATATTTACTTCTAGATTCTTCCTTATGTAATAGCTACTATATATATATTCCTGATGATTGTAATAATCTTATTCATTCAATCATAATCCAAAAATATGCTTTCTATTTACCTGTTTTCTCTTCAGATTTTCTCTCAAGTTTCTTCCTGATTTTACTTTAGTTTCACAAAATTATATTGGTTTCGATTTTTTGGGAAATACGGTTTGCGGTTTGGTTTGGTTTTTCAAAAATTATAAACCAAACCAAACCGTAAACCAGTAAACCGCATTTTAATATTTATATAATATTTATAAAAATTAAAATAGTTATTATATATTTTAAAAAAGAAAAAAAAATAATAAAAAACATGAAAAATCATTAGAAGACGGTCAGTAATTCAGTATAATACTATACTCCAAGATCAATTTAGCTCCGGCAATCATTGATATCGCATAATGTAGCCCCTAATGTTGTCAAGTTGCTGCCGATTATTAAAAACTATAATGTAGTATGATTTTTTTTTTTTTTTTGGACAAATGTATTATGTTTTTTTTCCCTGTAATTTGTTATGTATTATTTTTATTATGTGTGATTGTGTTAGCACTTGATTAGTTGGTTGTTATTTTATTAAAACTTTGTAGTGTAATTTAATCCGTTTGGGCTAATTATTTGAACTTTATTATAATTTATTAATATTTGACAATTTTTAGGAAAAAATGTCGTCTTATCATAAACCGCAAACCAAACCGCATTATTACGGTTTGGTTTGGTTTGGTTTCAATATTAATATGGTTTGGTTTGGTTTGGAAAATTGACCAAACCGTATTTTGCGGTTTGGTTTGGTTTATACTCAAACCGCACCAAACCAGACCATGTTCACCCCTAATTGTAAGAAATAAATGCTAGAATTAGGAATTTAATTAAGGGACGAAGGGAATAGCAATTGACTGATGTCATTAGCTGAATAGAGCTCATCTTAGGTCTTCTATGGTTGATAATGTTAACACATTATTTTAGATCTAGCTCAATAAAATAAAAATACATAAATAAATAAAAGTTAAAAGTATTTTTAAAATTTTCACAATGAAATAAATGAAACTACGAAAAATAATGGAAATTAGATCACTCATTGCGTAAGTTTACGGCCAAGATCGCATCAATTATTGAATACGTTTTATGTATGATATTACACTAGTGGAGAGGATTTGGTCCCCTTAATTAATGGCCATAAATCTC